AGCTGCCGCCACCTCCCTCCGCCTCCACGGATTGCCATGGGATCCTCCCTCCGCTCAAGCTACCGCCACCTCCAGATCGGCTCCCCCCGAATTTCACGCCGCTAGTCGTGACTGATGCATCGCTGGCATCTATAGAGAAGGGGTGGGTGGAGGTCGGGGGCCAGCATCGCCGGAGGTTGGAGAAGCTTCCGCCCCGCAAGAAGGAGACCGACCGTGCCCTCGCCTTCAAGCGGAGAGCATATGGGCTCTGTTTCCGGTGCTTGGCGGATGACCACTTCGTCGCCGACTGTCGTGGGCCTGTCACCTGCCTGGGCTGCGGCCGTTCTGGGCATCGCGAGCGTGGCTGCCCGGACCGCCTCCTTGCCAGCCACGGTCATCTCCGCAGCGCCCTGTTGCCGCCGGCTGCTCCTCGCCTCCCCAAGCACCCGCCCCCAGCTCCTTCACCGAGGTTGCAGAAGTGCTCGTGGGCCTCTATTGTTGCCGCTTCGACTGGGCTCGTTCAAGGGTCACCTTGTAGCAGCCCCGACGAGTCGACCTTGGCTGCTGATTGGGGGCTGTTGAAGCCCCTCTTTGCAGCTCAGACCGAGGCGCTACGCAACGAATTGCAGGCTCTGGTTACCGCTCGTGTGGAGGAGATCGTTCAACCCCTCCGTGACATGGCCGTTGCTCTGCAGGGTTGGGCGGCCCAGGTCTTGGGCCTCTTGGAGCGCCTGGAGGTTTTCAGTGGCAAAGTGGTTGATTTGCCGGCCTTCAATCAGTCTCCTGAGGAGCGAGAGGGAGGGATCTTGGGGAACAATGGGGGATTTTCTTCCCTGGAGCCATTGGGTGTGCCTCCTCCCTGGTGCGAGCATGAGGAGCCGGCGCCCTCTGTTGTCGCCGATGATGTTCTTCCTGCTATGGATGTAGCTCTACACGAGATGGTATGTCAAGGTGAGGAGGAGCAAGCTAAGGTTGCTGAGAAAGTCACATCAAGCAATGATTTGGAGCATTTTGAGGAGGCCTTACCTGATGGTTTGGTTGGAGAGGTGCCTCCCTTTGTCTCCTCTTCGGTGACGTTTGCTTCAGGGGGCATTACCAATATGGTGTCCTCTGGGTCCAAGGAGCCACTTGGCGATGTTGGTGTGCCATCAACCACCTTGTTGGATGAGTTTCTAAGCAGCTTCAGTTGTGCAGCGCCGCGGTCCTTGCTCGAAGAACCGATTCATGTGCGGATTGACGGGGCATCTACTTGTTCCGAGAGGCGTAGTGGACGTTTGGAGAAGAAGAACAGGAGCTGCAACATCCCTACTGCCAAGCACGCTGAATATAGGTTGGCGGAGGCTTATGGGGAACTCCCGAAGGGGGTGGCATCTAAGAAAGGCTCCGAGGAGGATGTGCAAGAGAAGATGAACTCTTATCTTCGGATGTATAAGAAACCGCCTACGTCGACTGCGATCCAGGCAATTCGTGCATTGGTGGAGGCCAATGGTTGATCTCATGTTTCAAAAGGGTAGGTGCGATTTCACTTCTAGTTGCAGGCCTGTTCTTGAGGTTGCAGTGGTTGTCTTGGTCGGGTATGCTGTGTTGACAGTGGTCTTGGGCCTCGGCACCCTTGTATCTGGCTCGGACGACGTACCTTGAGTGCTAGGCCGGTGTGTGTGGTCTTCGCCGGTTTTCCTTAATTAACCGATGCATGTATGGTTTTTGGGTCCGGTTTTCCTTATTAATCAGACCAACTCTCTTCTTCTATATGCAAATGTGGGAGCTCCCCGCCCTCTGACGAGGTTTCGTAAAAAAAAAAGAGAGAAATCGACGAGAGATATGACGGCTTGTTTGAGTCGGTGATGAGCGTGTAACTATGGGCCGCTGAATGACAGACGAACTGGCTTCAAACGTGCAGCCCACCCACTTTGAGCCCAACTAAAGGGCAGCGAGTTTTTTATGAATTGCCTACACGCACAGAAACACATGACAAGTTCTCAAAAAAAAAAAAACACATGACAATCACCCTGCAAAAAATACATGTGAATTACAGATGTACATTTTAAATTCTAATTTTAATGATTTCAAGATGACTCACCACGCCTGCCACGTGATAAACTTGTTCACTGTTTATATAGATCCTGCAGTGACCCATGTTTTGGGGAAAACGAATTAAACTTGTTCACTGTTTATATATGTTGGAAACGAGAACTTGGCAATGCTACATGATATATTGATCGGTGCATAGTGCACGTATATTAAAACCATTAAGATACACGTGAAGGGCGGCTAATCAGTTATGCCACATGTCGCAAGCTGGTTGGCCGCGGTAAGAAATTTTTTGAAATTCTTTTTAGATGAAGGTGCGGATTATTTTTCAAATATAATTTTTTTAAGATGGAGGTGAGGACCTCTGGTGTTTTTTTAAATGGAGGGTTATGCAAAGTAGTACTCGATGATATGTTGCGGTGATAATTTTTTTCTTTTTACTTCTTTTCTGGATGAAGGTAAGGAATTTTTTCCAGATGTTTTTCTAGACGGGGGCTATGTATTTTTTAAGTGGAAACATGCGCATAGCTTCTTCTCGAGCGGTGCCACAGGGTGGCGCCTCAACCACTAGTATGGAGTACAAAGTGGGCCACAACCTCAACTATACAAGGACTAGGAGGTGGGCTGAGTTACACAATATACATGCACAGTCGAAGCGTCACCGAAGACGCAAAGACTGGACCTTAACTTCTTGAAGACAGAAGTAGGCAGTCCTTTCGTCATGACATCGGTGAACTGTCGCGCCGTCGGGACGTGGAGGACCCGGATGCGCCCAAGAGCCACCTGCTCGCGAACAAAGTGTATGTCAAGCTCAATGTGCTTCGTTCGACGATGATGGACCGGGTTGGCGGAGAGGTACACGGCAGAAACGTTGTCGCAGTAGACGAGCGTGGCCTTGTGAACATCACAAAGCAACTCCTGGAGTAGCTGAAGAAGCCAAGAGCATTTAGCAATGGCGTTAGCCACTGTGTAAGTGCATCTAGTGCCCCTTAGTGATTTTGGTGTATTGAAGACTTATAGGTTAAGGGACTAATATGTTTGTGACTGTACACAGGCTCTATAAGTCGATGAGGAGTTTGATATTTACAGTGAAAGTCGAACCCTAAAAATGAATGTCTTCGGTTGAAGACTTTGGTTCTCCTGAAGACTTTGAAAGTGAAGAAATTGGTGTGACCTTGAAGACTTGGATATTCATGCGAGGATTATGAAGCGTGAAGACTTTTATTTTCGTAGTTTTATTTTCTCTTTCTTGAGTCATAGGAAACACCGTACTGTTAAAGGGGGTCGAGGTAATACTAAGAAAACTGATTTCCATGTGATGCTCAACTCAAAATCCTACACCTACCAATCCCTTCGAGTGAAGCCTTTGGAAATCTCATATCAGTTTAGTCAATTTCTTCAGTGACAGAGACAGAGATCTTCTGGTCTCTGAGGAATTTGTCCTGACTGAGGAGTTAGGAATTCGCTAGTGCGGATTGCCTACACAGTGAGGAACATGATAGCCCTGAGGAATTCGAACCTCAAATGTCCGATCGTTGCTGAGCCGTGCGCTAGCTGTCCCAAAAATATCTACCACCTAACGGTCATATCAGCCAAGGGCATTTATGTCTTATCATGTCAAACTGCTCCCTAGGCTATAAATAGCCGCCCCTACAACCACTAGTTGGTTGGCTGCTCCGAGAGAAACTGACACTTGTCATTTGAGAGCATCCCATCCTCCGAGGACTTTGAGCGAAAATCATCAAGTGAGGAAATACCCAAATCCCAGACCCAAACCTACAAACCCAAAGTGATTGAGCATCACTGAAGAGATTGTTCTTGTGTGGAACCGACGCTTGTTACCTTTGAGGACTATGTATCCTCCAGACGGTTAGGCGTCATGGTCTGAGCATCCAAGAGGAATTGTGGATTGCCGAGTGACCAAGTCTGTGAAGGTTTGGAAGTCACCTGTGAAGACTTACCACTACTGTTGGGCGAGATTTGCGTGATCTTATCTCAAGGAGAATACAGTGAGGACTGTGTGTCCTCGAGTTTAAATACTCAGCCGCTCCAACCAGACGTACAACTGTCACAGCAGTTGGAACTGGTCGACCAAATCATTGTCTTCACCAAGCCTACCGGTTCTTGTTCCTCAACCCTTTCATTTCCTCAATTATGTGTTGATGAACCTGATCATTACTGTTTGAAGACTTTGACTAAAGACTTTCTCTATTTCCTCAATCCTATTTCTTCAGTCAGTTTGTCTTCATCCTGCTATCCTGTGTTTACGCCTTCTGTACTCTGTGTTTTGTCTTTCATTTCATCATGAAGACTATGCTGTTGCTCTGCTATGCTTATACCTGAGTACTTATTCTGCTGCAAGTAATTCTTCGCTTAGGAATTTCCTCACCCTGAATTTCCTTAGTGAAGAATTCATAAAAATCGCCTATTCACCCCCCTCTAGTCGACGTAATGCACTTTCAGTTGGTATCAGAGCAAGGTACTCCTTTGTTCTGTGTGATTTTGGTTTAACCACCTGGAGTTTTAGTTATGTCAACTGCAGGAATGAGGAGTGTGTCCTGACCCATCTTTGATGGTCATGAGTATCTCAAGTTGTAACGCCCGGATAATCATGCTAC